AAAAAAAAAAAAAAAAAAAAAAAAATTAATATTAGTTACTACTACTAGCTGTTGTAGGCTCTGCATATTAAATGTAATATGTTTTCATTTAGTATCTCCTATGTGTTAGACATTTTACTAAGTGGTAAGACAATAGTAATGAACTGATAAGACGAATATGGTCCCTGAGTTTTTGGAGTTTGCTATCTAAATGTTTATTTGATAAGGAATTTTTAAGAAAAGTAGTTTTCTTTTTATTTTAAAAACCCACACAAGCTTTTAGCAATATATATATATTGTATTTTGGCAACCTATATTATATTTTAGCCATATATATAAAACTAAGAGAGGCCTCCCTAAAGAAGTGGTATTTAAACTAGGTCGAAATAGAAATAGGAATTAGCAAGGTCAAGTATGTTTTCTCTTGCATGTGTGAGTACACACAATGTTTGTGTTATGGAGTAACTGAGGGAAGAGAGTAACAGGACATTCCAGAAAGTAAAAGCAGAAGAAAATTGCCCTGTGATAAGAAGAAGCATGGGTTGTAGAAGACTGAAAGTTGGCTTCAAGCCTGATGCACAGTTGGGGAGAGAGGAACTTGGCGTGAGACTGGTATGAATTGTATCGTTGAGTCCGTAGGAGGGTGGGAGGATTCTAAGGAGAGAAGCAGCGATGGCTCGTTGTTCTTCCTTATTATTTTGGACATTTAATTAGAAAGTCATAAGATTTAAGGCCTATATACATTCCATTGGCAATTATGTTCCCCGTGCATAAAAACCACCCAGACCCTGCTCTTGAAAGCAATCTACGCCACTGACTGAAGAGACGGGGTCCCTTCTCCATTAATAGACAAGAGTTACATGGATACTAACAACCTACTCATTGTGTATTGGTCCATTTTCTGTTGCCAATAAAACAGTACCACAGAATGGGTGAACTAAAAAGAAAAGAGGTTCATGTTCATTGCCCTGGAGGCCCTGGGCTCTACCTTAATGACCTTATCTAACCCAATCTCCTCCCACCCACACACCCCATCCAATAGCCAAACACCCTAATGGAGTCAGATTAAGTTTCTACCACATAACTGCCAACATAGAAAATTTGGGAGACAAACTCAAACCACATCTAAGCGAGCCGTAGCACACTGATGCCTGTTTGTAGTCAAGTTGTAGTCAAGCTTTAATTAAAAGCTTTTAATTTTCAACTGGGTTATTTAGGTCATTATGAAAATTGTATATGGTTTAAATCTTTTTGTAAAACTTCAAGTGAAAAAAAGATATTATGCAAGGAAAAGTAAGTCTGCTGCTCTTTTGATTCCCACATATTTTCCCCTCTCAAGGCAAGCACTGTGGTATTTTGCTTACATTTCTAGTAATTTTTAATGCTTATACAAGCATTTTTTTGACCAATAAAAGTGTATACAGGTTAGAAGAACAATGTTTGAACAAGGCTTAACTCCTTGCCTTTATACTGAAGGTCATTTACATGTGTAAAATAGTTTAAATATTACATGGCCCATAAGCCTTCAGAGTTAGCTTTGCTCTTTTTTTGCTTTCTTTGTTTCATACAAATGGGAAGTGTACACTTTCCTATTTAGCAACTTGCTTCTTGATTGTTAATATGTTAACTCTTGAAAGCTTGCTATATTCTAAATCCTTCATGACCATTGCCTTGTTGAATCCTCATAGTGACCTTTGGGTGGAGAATGATGAGTACGCCTATTTTTCAGAACACAAGTCAGACGAAGCACAGAGTTATTGCACAGTGTCCTCAAAGTTACAGAACCCGCTGCTGAGCTCCAACAGCCTGTAGCATCTTCCTTCTTAATTTCTTTTCTGTACTTCCTTTCAGATAATAATTTGATTTTTATTTGTTTTTAACAACACTTTGTTCCACTCTTTTAGACCAAAGCTGATAAAAACCTCAGAACAGAATATTACGAAGAACAGATTCAAGCCTTCAAAGGTATCACCCAAGAACAAACATCAAGTTTTAACTTAGCTCTAAAATTTACACCCACTGAAGTAGATACAAGAAAAAAGGACAAAACTTCTCAGACAACAAACAATACAGAACAACAGAAGGCCCCAAATACTTTTCGATTTTCATATTCCAAAAATGAAACTTATCAAAAATTATTGTCATACTCTTCAAAGAAGGTAAGACTTTCAAACACTTGACATAAAGATCCAGATGTGATATATTTCAAGCTAAGCAAACCCACTCTTTTAGATATTTAGAGTAGATAAAGATCATATAAAAGATGAAAGCAAACAAGGTAACATCAAATCCTCAAGTAGGTAGCTAAGACACCAGAAAGGATAACATAACTAGGGAGGATACTGATGGTAACTTGGATGGTAGAGAGTCAAATGGCAGTACTGAGTGAGGGCTGTGTGCGAAGAATTCAGAGCATACTTTTCAAGTGGCCATTCAGTTTATACACTAATCACGACTACAGTGAAGAATTATACTGAGGGATTGAGAATTCATAGCAATGCCTCAGAATAATGATTATTATGTAATTGCCTTATATGAGTATAAACACTGTCATCCACCCAAAGTGTTCAGTTGGAAATCTTTTAAATCATTCAATAAATATTTAGCTGTATACTTAGTTATGTGGCCAGACACCATCCTAGGTACTTAGAATACTTTTGCGACTCAAGCTGATGATTCTTGTCCTCATGCAGCTAAAAGCCCAAAGGACACAACCCAAAAGGATAAATATATTAAGAAAAAGGGAATCTAAATAGTATTTAAAAAGTGATAGGGAAGGCAGGGACAAGGGGAAAAAATGAGAACCAAGACTTGTCATGTAAAGGTACAAGATCCCGATAATGAATGTAACTGTACTGTATACCTAGAATGTACTAATAAATTCAATAAAAAGAAAAGGAAAGAAAGTGATTAGTGGTACAGAAAAAGGAAAAGAAGAAGTACATTGGAGAAATCAGGAATGCCTGAGAGGTGCCTGACAGATGAGATCTGAGCAAAAATTCAAAAGCAAGGAAATGACTAAGCAGTTAGATTTAGAATGATGTTCTGAAAGAAGGAACTGTTATGTGAGCTAGAAAAATACAGATATGATAGCTCAGATTGAGTTGGTAGGAGAAAAGATTTGAGAGGGTACCTGAATCAGGTCACAAAGAACCTAAAAGCCCATTGTGCAGGCAGACTTGTTCTCTGAGTGACATGTGAGGTCACTGGAGGATTTCAATCTGATCATGAATATTCGGATTTATGTTTAAAATGATTATGATGGTCATATGAAATGATATGATGGTCATATGATGAAATGATTATGATGGGATATGGGTGCCAAGAGAAAAGATGAGGAGGCTTATTAAAAGCTGCTGTAGGAACCCAGTAGGAGATAGTGGTCGTTAAGACACAACAGTTACAGAGTCAAACAGGACTCTAGGTTTGAAGCTTAGCAACTAAGAGGATGGAATTACTGATGGAGAAAATCTGGTGAGTAGATTTAGAGAGGAAGACCAGAAGTGAATTTAGGTGTGAAATGTCTACTAGGTATTCAGTTAATGATGCCAAATAGGAAAGTATGATCCTGGAGTTTGGGAAAGAGATTTGGGTTTGGGCTGTAAATGTGAGAGTTGTTGACATATACTTGGTGCTTAAAGTCTAGGGGTTTGGTGAGGCCATCAAAAGTTAGATTACAGGGCTGGGGATTTTGCTGAGTTGTGCCACTGCCTAACACAAGCTCAAAGTCCCAAGTTCAATCCCTGGTACCAAAAAAAAAAGAGAGAGAGAGAGAGGAGGAATCAGCAAAGAAAGTGACCAGCACAGTGCCCTAAAGTCTTGCTACAATGTGGTCCAAGGATCAGCAATATCTACACCACTGAGAATCTATAACCTCAGGTTCTAACACAGATTTAAGTCAAAATTGCATCATTATGAGGTTATCTCTAGCTGACTTGTCCACATTTTATAGTTTGAGAAGCATTGTCCTACAAGGCAAGAAAAGGAACTCTATTTAGGAGAGGGGAAAGATGAACTGCGCTAAATATGCTAATATGTCAAAGAGAAGGATGGTAATTACTGGTCTCAGGATTATGAAGGTCATTGGTGACCTTAACAAGAGTGTTTTCTTAGTGAGGACAACAGCATTATTGAATTAGATTTAAGAGAAACTGTTAAGAGAGGAATTGGAAGTATAGAAAATTTTTTTAAGGAATTATGCTTTTAACAAGGACAAGAATATGAGTTGCAAATAGTCAAACTAGTGAAGACAAGAGAATGCTTTTCATTATATCAAGATGGAAGAAATAGTGTATTTGGATGGAAATGCTCTAAGACCTACCATTGAAATAAATGGAACTGAAGAACAATACACGTCAGTCCAGCTCCAAATTCCAAAATACACTTACTTGTTTTCACAACAATAAAAATGAATCAAAATACACTTTCTGGATTTTTGCAATTCCACTGAGGATTATTAGGTAAGTCAGAAGATAGAGAGCTCATTTACCTTGTAATAGATGGAGTAAATTCCTATAAGATTCTTGTTAGAGGCTGATTCACCACTAGTACCTAAATTTAAATTGTGTGAACGATGTGCTCCCAGGACACACAAAGTTTGGTGTGATGTCCACATACGCTAAGATGTAGCTTTTAGAAAGAGATCAAATCACCATATATTAACCATGGAGATAGCAAGAGAAGCCCAAAAGATCAATCTTCACAAACATGGGTGTCAGTTGTAGTCTAGTTTTCCTTGGACCGGGCTGATACATGGGCTCAAATGGTTCACTGTCACAGTTTTCTTTTGGACACCCATGCCATCACCCTGGCCCTGGGAACATTTAGCTGCGGGGTTAAATTGGCTTGAGATTCATGTTTTAAAATACTCTCTGTCTGATCTTTCTCATTAAAGATCTCAAGGGTATAGCAGAAGCAATGGGGAGATCACAGACCTAAACTTGTAGTAAAGTTTGTGCCCTAAAATATTTGTATGATTTGGGACAAATAACTTGATGTGTTAGGGTCAGAGTTTTTTTCATCCTTAGAATAAGGAGATTTGACCTTATATATAATATATTCTTCCATCGTTAATATTTAAGAAATCATCTGGGTGAGCTAAAATTTCCACATAATAAAATGAAAAGATTTTAAATGTTTTGATTTATCATATACACCTTTGTAGTGAAAAAGAAGATTCAGATTATTTATCTCCAACCCAAGAAAATTCTATCATGCTTTTCACAGTCAATTAGCTACCAACTGATAGGCAGCCACTGACCAGATTTCTCTGACTATATCTGTTTTTTCCTGTTTGAGAACTTCATTAAATGGAATTAGATAGTACACATTTCCCATGTACAACTTCTTTCACTCAGCACAATATATTTGAGATGTATCTATGTTGTTGCATGTATCTGTAGTTTGTTCTCGGTAGTTTGTTCTTTTCAATTGTGAACGGACCTCAATTTGCTGATCAGCTCACCTGTTGATGAGCATTTGTGCTGTTCCCAATTTTACACTATTCCAACAAATGCTGCTATGACATTCTCACGCAGGTCTTCTGTGGACATGTTCCTATTTTTCTCTTTTTTTTTTCTTTTTTATTGAGTTTATTGGTACTATTATTTTTAAGTGAATAAGAGTAGAATTGCTGGTCAAAGAATCGATGTATGTTTAACTGTTTGAGAAACTGCTGGACAGGTCTTCAAAGTGGCTGTATTATTTTACACTCCGACCAGTGTAAAACTTTCTGTTTGAGAGGTCCAGTTGGTGCACATCCTTGTCAGCAGTTCATACTGAGCATATTTAAGTTCATCCTCCAAAGTGGAATAAAGTAGTATCCCATGATCACTACTAAAATATTATTACTGTGAGTACTTTAGATTTTATGTTTTGTTTAAAATAATATTGCTAAAACTCATTTCTCTTCTTCACCTGCTCTACAACAAAGGAAAAAATTTTTCTGCGTGTGAAAGGAGAAATTCAGCTGGGCAGATTTGTGATGAGAACCCGGGACGTCATGCTGACAACAACATTCTTGGAGGATATAAGAGCTCTGCCAGCTACTTATGAAAAGGGAGAATATTTTGCATTTTTGGAAATGTATGGAACCCACTTCAGTAGTTCTGGGTCCCTAGGAGGACTGTATGAACTAATATATGTTTTGGATAAAGCTGCCATGAAAAAGTATGGTATGTCTACAAAAAGAATTCTAACTCCAAAAGCTGTTTTAACTAAACAGTATTCCTGTAATCTCTTTGAATAGTTAAAGTCTTTAGAGTAAAGGGCCAGTAGCATCTGATCGTTTAAGAGAACTCTCTTCTTCCCTTTGGTGCCTACAATCCTATCAGAGAGCAGACTGATTTTTATGTCTACTAAGCTGACTTGCTCCTATACTATTCGGTGGTGTTACTGATGGATGTGCCGTATTGTATTATAATATATATTATATAAGGTGCTGCTTACAGTGAAATATAATTTAAAAGGTGAAGAAGGTATAATAAACATAATTTGCATAACCTATTTCTTAATCAGTATAGACTGATTTGACATATGTATCATGATTATCTTCTAAAATATTATTCACTATTAAAGAAAATTCTAAAATTCTAGATTTTCTTTTAGAAGGGAGGGAAAAGGGAATGTTACATAAGTCTAACATTGTAAAGCAAGGTTGGAATATTAATTTTACTTCAATGTTAATTTTTCCATCATATAGTGGAGATTGAATGGGGTCCACATTGGCGAGGTTTCTTGCTACACTTGAATCATGGAGAATAGGGCTGTTGCTGACCATCAATGTGTGTGTGAGAACTGGAGAGGTCTCTGTCCTATACTGTCACTACCTTGTCCTACAGTGTTATCTGAGCCTTTAAGAATAAAGTAGATCATCTAGTCATGCTGGTTTGCACCAACCACTTGACTCACTTGTCACCAGGAGTTTGAGGTCAACATGGATAACATAGCAAAGTTCTGCCACCTCAACAAACAAAACAGAACAAGTGGATGCAAAGTGGTCATGTTAGTAAGTTTTATCATTTATTTTGTGAGTGATTATGTCTGGTTATGATAATCCTCAAGGACGCAATAGATAACAGCATTTCTCCTCTCCACATTGCAATTACTCGGTGTCTCTTAGGGATGAAAGTGTTGCTCAAAGCCACTTCATCATTCCTACCGGGCAATGTGTCAACTGATGGGTTAAATGTCAAGTGTCAAGTGATGAGTGGCGTGTGAATGTGATCTCACAGCCTGACACTCCCCATAGTGAGTAAACACTGATGGATGAAAAACATGAGAAAAATCTGAGCCAACCACTGTGATACCTCTGTCTGGTCAAGGGAGTTAGAAGCCTTCCCAGGAGTAGTGGGATATGAAATTGTTTGATTTCTACTGCTGCTCAGGGCCACATCCAAAACATAGTAAGAGTGAGGGCTCTATGACCCTCACTTGATAGTCTATTTTAACAGAGATGTCATACATGGAAGAGCACAAGAAAACTGTCTTCAGCAACTTGAAGACAAATGCTTAAGAAGGATGATCAAGACACAAAGACCCCTCCATTCCAGGAGTTGCTTTGATCTAAAAGCTTCATATGCTGAGAACTTTAATTCTGAACACCTCCTAGCTAACCACTTAAATCTACAATACTTACTTCTGACCTTAATGAACAAGGAAGGATCTTTGGGTCTGTATGAGTTCCTTTGAAGAAGAAGGAACCATGCAGTGCCAATCCCTGAGAAGTAAGCCATGTCCTCAACCTCAGTTGGGATGTCTGGATATGGAAGAGCTGAGGCAGGGGATCAAAGCCCTTTGGAGAAACTTATTTTTCACCCTCATCCTCTTCATTTTTTCAGGAGCCTTGCCACCATTTGTTCTTGTTTGAATCCTCATGCTTCATAGGGATAAGATTGGAATACTAGAATTCTGTGCTTTAATTCTCTCAGGATGAGACCTAGAAGGGAAATAGTTGCCTCAATTGGAATTTCTGTTTTTAGTTTTCGATGAATCTCCATACTGATTTCCAAAGTTGGCTGTACTAGCTTACATTCCCACTAACAATGTAAAAGGTTCATTTTTCCCTGTAGTCTCACCATTTGTTTTGTTGTTGTTTTTGTTGTTGTTGTTGTACCAGGGATCAAACTCAGGACCTTGGGCTTACAAGGCAGACAGTGGCACCACTGAGCTAAATCCATTCATTCCTGTTTGATTTCTTGATGATGGCCAGTATTTCTTGAATAAAATGAAATCTTAGTGTTTATTTAATGTGAATTTCTCTAATGCCCAGAGATATTGAACATTTTTTCATGTACTCACTGGCCATTTGTGCTTCATCTTCTAAGAAGAGTCTATTTTAGCTTCTCATTTTGGGGGGGTCTAATTTTTTGAGATTCTTATATATTCTAGACATTATCCCTCTCTCTAGGGTACAGCTGGCAAATATTTTTCCAGTTGTGTAGATTGTCTTTTCACTCTGTCTGTGGTTTCCTTTTCTGCACAGATGATTTTTAATTTAATAAAATTACATTTGTTGATTTGTGGAGCAATTGAGACTCTTCTTAAAGATATTGTGAATGATATTATTTTCCTAATTTCTTTCTCAGTGGGTTCTTTACTGAGGCGCAGGAATGCTGTTGGTTTTGTTTGCTGATTTTGAATCCTGCTGCCTTGCTGAATTGGTTTATTAGTCTAGGAGTCTTTTGGTGGAATTTTTTTGGACCTTTCATGTGAAGGATCATGTCATCTGCAAATAAGGATACTTTGACTTCTTCCTTACCTGTGCTTATTCTTTTATTTCTTTATCTTGCCTGATTTGTCTGACTAATATCTTGAATACTATATTGAATAGAGTGTAAAAATGGATATTCCTATTTTGTTCCTGATTTTAGAGGAAAAGTTTTCCATTTTTGCGCATATAATATGATGTTGGCAGGAGATTTGCCATAAGTGACTTTTATCCGATTGAGATAAGGTCCATCTATTCTTATCTTCTTCAGGGCTTTTTATCATGAATGGACCCTGGATTTTTCAAGGACTTTTTCTACGTTTATTAAGATGATCATGTGATTTTTGTCCTTGCTTATGTTTATGTGATGTGCATACATTGATTTGCATATGTTCTAACCAACTGAGCTAACTGGCAAGCTATTGATTTGCATATGTTGAACCACCCTTGAATCCCTGAGATAAAGCCTAGTTGGTCATGATGTGTGATTTTTTAATTGATATGATGTATACTCTTTGCCCATATTGTGCTGAAGAGTTTTTCATCAATATTCATTAAAGAGTTTGGCCTATAGTTATCTTTTTTTTTTTTTTTTTTTTTTTAGTTAAGTTCTTGTCTCGTTTTAGAATCAAGGTAATGCTAGTTTCCAGGAATGACTTTGTAGTACTCCATCCCTTTCAAATTCATTAAAGAATTTGAGGTATTTTGGCATTAGATCCCTCTTGAAGTTCTTATAGAAGTCAGTGGTGAATCCATCAGGTTTGGTGCTGTTTTTGTTGGTAGTTTTTTGTTTGTTTTACTTCCTCAATTTCATTGCCTATTATGGGATTGCTTGGGATTTTTATACATTCTTAGTTCACTTTTGGTAATTCATATATATCTAGAAATCTATCATTTCTTCTGGATTCTTCAATTGACTGGAGTACAAGTTTTTGAAGTAGTTACTAAGAATCTGGATTTTGCCAGTATCTATTGTGATTTTCCCTGTTTTGCTTCTAATTTCATTGATATGTGTCTTTTCTTGCCTTCTTTTGTTAAGATTGGCTAAGGGTTTGCCTATTTTTGTGTAGTCTTTTGAAGAAACATTTCTTCAATTGACTTTGTTTTGTTTTGTTTTGTTTTTTTATTTTTGGTTTTTTTGAGACAGGGTCTCACTATGTAGTTGAGACTGACCTGGAACTCACTATGTAGCCCAGGCTGGTCTCAAACTCACAGCGATCCTCCTGCCTCACCCTCCCAAGTGCTGCGATTATAGGCATGCGCCACCACAACCGCCTTGACTGATTCTTTGTATTTTTGTCTCTATTTCATTAATTTCTTCTCTGGTCTTCGTAATAACCTTCCTTATACTAGCTGTGAATTTGGATTTTACTTTTTCTATAGGATCTTGAGGTGCATCACTAGGCTTCTTATTTGGGCTCACTTTGTCTTCTGAACTTCCCTATGAGGACCATTTTCATTGTAGCCCTTATGTACTGGTATATTGTACCAGCATTATCATTTGATTCTAGGAACTGTCTAAATTCTTCCCAGATTTCTTTAAGAGAGTATTTTTTAATCTCTTTGAGTTTCCATAATTTCTGTGGTTTCCTTTTCCACTGATTTCTAGTTTCATTGCACTATAACCTGATAATATGCATGGAGTAATTCTGATTCTTTTTTATTTATTTAAGCATATTTTATTGCCTATTTTGAAGGAAATTCCATGTGCTGAGATAAGAATGCATAATCTCTTGTTTGATGGAACTCTCTAGATACCTGTGACATCCGTGTGTTTGAAGGTACTGTTCAACTCTGATGTTTCTTTGTTGATCAATGTGTGGTATTGAGGTGTCCCACTAAAATTGTGTTGTTGTTTATCTGATCTTTTACTCCAGGCTCTAGTGTTTGTTTAATGAAGTTGGGTGTGCTGATATTCAGTGCATGTATATTTATAATTGTTATCTCTTCCCATTGAGTTATTATCAGGCAGTAAGTAATGATCTTTTTTGTTTCTTCTTGTCAGTTTCGCCTGAAGTCTACTTTGTCTGAAAATAGGATAGGTGATTTTCTTGTTTTGGGGTTCCCATTGATTAGAACATTGTTTCCCACCCTTTGATCTTTAGTATATGAATTTCTTTTTTGGATTAAATGTGTTTCTTATATACAGAATACCACCTGCTTTTATTTTTTGATCGAGTCTGCCAATCTGTGACTTTTAATTAGAGAATTGAGAAAATCACACTGAGAGTTATTACTCAAAGTTACTGGCTTATTCTTGTCATTGTATTATTTTGCTGTTGCTACTTATGTATGTCGGTCCACTTCTGTAATATTAGAGATAAAGACTTTACTATGATCATGTTAAGCCAGCCCATGTCCTTTTAAAGCAAGTAACAAATTTAATCTATAGCGGAGGTTACTATATTCAATGCAAAGACAAAACAGGGACGATAGAACCTTGTGTTTGAGTTCTGTAATAATATCTATGAATATGTATTTTTTACAAAATAGTAAAATTGGAATTCATTTGTGTTCTTGACAGATATTATTTAACAATTTTTAAATAAATATGTAAAACAGGTTTTGAATTACACGATATAAAGAGATGCCTCGGATATAATCTGGACTTGTCTATGAGCATCACTGGGATCACTGCTGAACCTGATCTTACAGCACAATTAAACTACAGTAACTGTGCGAAAAGGGGTGAAGGTAAAGTGGGTAAGTATAATCCCTAACTTACAAAGTTGAAAATGTGGGGGACAGATGCCAAGGAACGATGCCCTCTCACAACCTCCCTCATCAATCTCTACCCTCTTTCTTTAGAAACACTTTAAGTCCTGACGAACTATTTTAACTTTGCAGTGGTTTCTGAACTGTGAAAAACACAAGTGACCCATGGATATGTACTTGTCAACGTCTCCACTGAGCAAGCTGTGCGGTTCCAGCTTTAGGAGATGTCACTTATACTCTTCTCATTGTAGATCTGTGTATTTATTATGGCATTGGTGGAAGGACAAGTTTATCTTGAAAACATATCTTGATATTAATACAGGTTTCAAGTGGGACTGTTAAAGTGTTACATGCATCTATTAACAAAGGCGAGGGCAAAGCCAAAAAATAAATAAATAAATAAAAGGAAGGCCAACGCCATCTGCCCAATTCCAAGTTTCCACTGAACTGCCAATTCCTAATCCTTCCTTCCTTTCAAGTCAGTTCATAAGCTTTGTAAAATTACAAGTATCTTTGGTATAAATCTTCCGTTATCAACCTTTACCAGATTTTCAACCTTGAGGAAGACCTGGAGTTCTCAACTCTTACTCTAATCTTAAATACCTGAGGGCATTTTTGTTTCTTTTCTTTTCTTTTTTTTTTTTTTTTTTTTTTTTTTTTTTTTTGGTTTTTTGTGAGACTGACCTGGAACTCACTATGTAGCCTAGGCTCGTCTCGAACTCACAGCAATCCTCCTGCCTCAGCCTCCTGAGTGCTGGGCTTACAGGAGTGCACCACCATGACTGGCAACCTGAGGGCATTTTAAAAATACACATACTTGAAACTCATTTTAAAGACCAACTAACAGTGAGGAGTCTAGAGAAGGGAAAGCCTGACGTTGTTAAAACCATGTCAACTTCTGACTTCTGGTCATGACTGGAAGCCACTGGTGAAGTGACAAAAGCCTGAACTTGTCATAATTTCCGTTCTTGCCCCATAAGTGCATAATCTTCGGTAGTCACTACATTTCTCTAAGATCTCAAATTTCTCATCCATAAAAATGAGGAATGATAAACAAAAACAGCTTGGAATTTGCAGTCCTAAAATTTGACATCTCAATGAGTCATAAAGCTTTAGAAAAGTGTTTCAATCTGGAGAGAGACTGAGGGAAGATGGGTAGAAATTTGGGATGGAAAGAAATTTTACTTTTCACATAATTGTTTTGGGCACTTTAATTTTTGTGTAGTATTTTGCAATAGTTTATAGCAAAATACAATTTGTATAGACAAAATACAATTATGAAGGTAAGTTTGCAACAAAAATATATAGTATATCCAAAGCCATGTAAAGTTCCCATGTGTGTGTTTATATGATTATCTGTGAATTATCAGTGTAGCCTTTTTATTTAACAAAAGAAAGGTAATGGAAGTGTGTAAGTGAGTACTAATAAAAATTTCCCCTATACATCTGGGGGAATTACTTTTATAAGTAATTTTACAACTACAGTTCAATACATTTACCAGGCTATATTGAAAGAGCTCCATACATGTTTATTAAATATTATCTTAATGACTGACCGCAGAACTACAAGAGCTTGTCTTTAACTCCTCTTTCCAGTAAATATCAACCGGGATCAGCTCATTGATGATGTTATTTCACTCATAAGAGGAGGAACCAATCAGTATGCCTTGCAACTGAAGGAAAAGCTTCTCAAAGGACCCAAGACAATTGATGTGACTGACTTTGTAAATTGGGCCACTTCCTTAAGCCAAGCACCAGTGCTTATGAGTCAGAAAGTAAGTAATGCTCATTTTAAAATAGAAGGTCATATCATTTTCATATGAACAGGTGACAGATCTGACAGAGAAGTCAGCATTCAAATACACTCCCATCTCATCCCAGAATGCACCGTGGCCAAGAAGAAAGGCACAGTGTGCTGTCAGACAGCCTCAGCTGGGTTCCTGACTCTGTTGTTCACTAAATGTTTAATGTTTCTAACTTCTTTGAAACTAAATTCTCTAGACATTAATTTTTTTTTTCTGAGAAGATTGCTGGTATAGCGCCTAGAGCACAGACCAGAACAAAATAGGCTCCCAAGAATCATCAGTTTCCTTCTGTCTGTCCTTGATTGCTTCTTGCACTGGCAACACACAACCGCTTTCAACACAGGAGAATCTTACTTATTGAGTCTTTAAAAAAAATCATTGTTATAATTATTAGCATTATTAATTATATCAATAAATGGATTTCACTGCCGTATTTCCAGGCCCTGCTTGTCTCTGTTCTTTATTAAGTCTCTATGAGAGGAATGTTCATAAAGAGTTCAGGAAAATGAGAACAAGGGTGAACAGTCCTTATGATCAGAGATTTCTTTCCTTTTCCTATCTTGACTGTAATAGTCCTCAAGTTAGAAAACCTTTCAGGGTTCATAATCCTCTGTTTATTCCTAAAGGGGAGTGTTATAATTGTAAAGATGTAAATGTTGTTTAGCTTCATCCCTTTCCCTCCAAACTAACTAAAGAGGGTGTGTGTTTTCCTTCTTCGATTCCTGATATTATTAGGAGTGTGTTGTCTAGTTCATTTTATAGCTTTCAATTTAGCCTGTATGTTTCACAATTTCCTTTGCTTTGGTCAAATTTATCTTTGTTTACCACTTCAGTTTGATTGTTTTGAGTTACAGAAGTGCTGGCACTAGATGGTAGAAATTTTTATTTTCTCAATCTATTTTATTGTCTTTATTTTTTTCCTCATTGAATTTATTGGTGTTTTTTAAGTACCCAGTAAAATTACATTCATCATTGGGCTTTTGTACTTTTACATGACAGGTCTTGGTTTTCATTTTTTCCCCATACCTCTGCCCTCCCTTCACCCCCACCCCTGCCTTCCCTATTTACAAAAACTTTTTTCCATTTTTTCATTTTCTCATATTTTTTCTTTTTCCTTACTTCTTTTCCCCTACCCTTCCCACTTCCCCTACACATTTAGTCCTTTTCTTCCTATTTCAAATTGTCAGTTATACCATTTGGATCTTATTTACACTTTTAGTTTTTCACACCAGAGAAACTATTTGGTATTTACACATGTGTGACTTATTTTTCATTTAAGAGTACAGCTTCAGTATGCATCCATTTTCATATGAATGACTCTAATTTCTCATTCTTTATGGCTGAATAGTATTCCATTTTATAGAAAAACCGCATCTTATTTTATTGTCTTTAAAGTGATGTAATTAAAAAGATTCAATGAAAAAAAGAGTGGGTAAAGCTACCCAAAATATCTCATTTATGTGAAGAAAGAACTAAGAAATTTCAAAATTGTAATTAATTCTCCCATTAGGTTATAGAAATACCACCATTTACAAATGTGAAAATGTATCTATAAATCTTCAAATAATGTTTTCCCCAAAATAGGACAGGGAGAGAGAAAAACCTGGCCAAATTAACATGTTTATATATGAAAATAAAATCAGAAGAAGTCTTTATTATTTTATTGTTTAAAAGTTTATTTAAATTCATTATCTTGAGATAAGTACAATAAATCTATACTGGAAGATTTTAAGTAAAAATAGACTCAGGTGACCCAGGTGAAGATTTACATCAGTCAGACCTTTAAAATGGATTATTGTGTCATCTCTACAAAGAAAGTCCAACTGTTCTTATAGAGTGCATCCAAAATTGCTCTCTGAGATCACAATAACACTCCACCATGTTCTAGAGGTGATTTTTAAAGATTCAAAGAGTTCTCTCAACTAAATCAGCATAGTTCTGCCAGCCAAACACAGAATATAGTTTATTGCATGTGTAGGGCCAACTGTCCTTCAGAGTCTTAGAAGAGTTGAGTGGACATTAATTATAAACCATCTGGACAAGATTTTTTCTTTATAAATTGAAAGCCTGGTTTTTTCATATGAATGGTCTAAGACACTGGTGACTTTAGTTAGTGCTTCATAGATCACTTTTTAAATGGATCTTTTTGTAGAGAAGTTTCAGAAAACAGAAAATGATGGGGATTTGTATTGACTTTGTGTGACCTTTAAATCCCTGGAGAGACAGGAGATTCAGTTTAGTTCAACCTTGAAATAGATTCCAATTCAGTTTGCTTACATAACTCCAATAAAAGTGGTTTTTTTCGATTGTCATCTGGTTACCATTTCTAATCTATAATCACTAATTTTTTTTTTTTTTTTTTTTGGTTAAGTTGAGGCATTCTATTGTCTACCCATGAAATTTTCAAACACTAAGTATAGGATCCTCTTGATATTTAAATCAATAGCCTTTATATTTAACTATTTAAAGAGTTGATACAGTTTCATCTGTCCCCTCTAGAATATTCATTGTTTTATATTTAATCCTTTCTCAAATTAAATCAGTGATCTTGCGTGTCTATCTTGCTGTTTATCTCGAAGGAAAGCCTAGGAAATTCATTCTAAATGAAAGACTGTAAATACTGACATTTTTCTAAGTAAAACATTTGATGATAATTGAAGAAGGAAATAGAGATCGGTAGGTAGCCAGCATCTGTAATTGCGGCAGTACTCTTTCAATTTCCCTGTGTCTTGGTCCATTCCAAGAATTTTTTCTTGACCTCTTTTGTGCAGAGGGCGTAGACTGGTTTGTTTTTTCTGTACTTAGATTTGTCACAATCTTCACCTGTCACAAAATTCTATTCTATTGCTAGTTTGTCTGCATATAACACAAATGTTTTGCATTTTATAACACAATAGCTAAACTTTAGTTTTCTTCTTTAAACTACTGCTACAGATTAGTTAAGAAAATGTCAGCTGAGAGAAACTATGTTCACTAAAGATTGCCTGAAAGATATAACATTTAAGATTTCCTCTAGAACAATACCAAGATCAGTAGAACTATGTATGATAAAGTGTATTGCTTCCTGTGAAGTTTTGTTTTGGCCTTGCCTTGTAAGAAACAAAATTATGTAAACACTGCATTATTTTCTGAAACAATGTTACATAATATATTATTTCTTTATTAAGAACTCAAAGAAATGCTACATTTTCATCTCATTTTGTGTCTCTTGGAAATCGGGTAGTTTTTCTTATATGCCTGGGATCATTAAATTCAGTTTGTCTTAATGGGCTAGAAAAACATAGCCAAATTTTCAGTCCACCTGGTGCAAATGGATGATTTTTCCTGGTATGAATTTTGTTCACATGGGATGCTTTTACCTCCATCTCTCCTTTTCTGTTCTCTGTTCTTTCTCCCCACCACTTCACTCAGCTCCTCTTATCTGGGTATACAATAAGCTACATTATTAGCTCTTTCTAGAGTACCATGAGGTAGTAAATAATGAATCAATTACCCTATTATTTTTGCTATTATTAGAATAGCAAATTGGTAATTCTTAATAAATATGCCTCAGATGTTTAAAGCCATCAGTATTTTAAAGGGTTCTAGCACAAATCCTGTGTTATAGTTGTCAAAAGTTATAATGACATGGTACAAATCATTTTGAATTCTCTAGGGAGAAAAGTTACACTCATTTCATCAAAACTACATTTGAAGGACCAGGGATTTAGCTCAATGGTTCTGCCATCTGCTTTGCCAGCACAAGGTCCTGAGTTCAATCCCTGGTACCCCCCCACCCAAGAAAAACTACATTTGGAATATATAGTTTAATATTTGGGTGCCTAAAAGAAATCTAAATGTACTTACTCTTAAAATATATTGTCAATTTATTTGTATTTTAACATATTTTATGATAGATTATGTCCACTGCAAATATACCTATAAATGGTAAAAGAAGAATTAGTTGGTAGAGGAAAAAATTGGAACATTTTTCTTAGTAAAAGGTCGTTTCATCACAAAAAAAGATGTTGATTTGCAGAAAAACGTCAAGAAGTACATTTTAATTCTCTTTTGTCTGCTTGTGCAATTCTTACTCTAGGGTTTGAGGATTTCTGAAACTATTTCCATTGCATGTCCTTCATCTTTATCTCTTTGAACACTGTTTATATGTTTTATCCAAATTGTGCTTCCTCCATGACCCTCTATTCCTGTATCAGGTTATCTGGCCTTGAATTTCCTTTGAAGGGTAAAACAAGATAATTTCTTTTCTCAAAAAATCAAAATAACTCTACCACATGCTTGTGTTGTTGGAGCCAACATGGCAATGATGGTAAGAGGCTGTTTTCTTCCAAATAAATATTACAGTTGAAATCTGAATCTTGTGTACTGATTCATGAAAGACTACACTAGTAGACAATTGTGTTGATGTTTTAGAAGTTCTGGATATGTTCTGGATATTAGCTTATTCCAACTAAAATGTGTTGTGCATACTTTCTCCTGTTTGTGGATTTTCAGTCTTTTAATGGTATTTCTTTCCATAACAGATATTCTTTTTATCTTTTAAAAAAATAATTTTAGACTTGACAGTAAAGTTACACAGATAGTATAGACAGTAATATTGCAAAACTAGTGCAGAGAATTCATATATACCCTTTACCCAACAGTCTCTAGTATTAATTGCATAACCACAGTAAAATTATCAAAATCAGATAATTTAGTTAGCTAAACAACAGACCACTCAAATAACAAGTTTCCCCCTTAATCTTTTTTCTACACCAAATCCAATCCAGGGTGCCACATAGTTCTTATGTCTCCATAGTCCCCTCCCATCTGTCATGGCTCCTCAGACTTTCCTTCCCTTTTATGGACTTGACCGTTTTGATGAGGACTGGTCAATTATTGTGTCAAGTGTTCCTCAATTTAGATTTAAAGTCAATGTGACCATGCTTTTCTTGGCAAGCCCGAAATGACGATATGTTCTTATCTAGTTC